AAGGTAGGTGTGAAGAAACAACCGTTCATGCAGTTAACCCAGTTCAAGTTTTGTGCAAAAACGCATTATCGCACCGGCTCGCCTGGTGCGTTCCAGCCTAGGTTTGTCGAACGGCCGCTCTAGCAAGACGAACTGGAAATTTACATTTTAATGCGTTTTTGCATATACGTAAATTGCAAAAGCGCATATTGGGAAGAGACTGTCTGTGCGTGTGTGCGCGTGTGTGTCTGTGTGTTCGCACTTTTTGTCACTCAATTTCAACTCGAGAACCAGAAAAGCTAGAAGGCTGAAACTTTGAGAGTATGTGTCCGCATCATGCGCGACCCTCCCGTTTTAATATCGTTCCTTGCGGAAGTCTGAATGCCGCGTACGGACGCTTTAAAAAAATGTGCAGATTTTTTAACGGGAAGGCGATCTCGAGACTCACACAACGTAAGAGGCTAAAACTTTCTAGGGATATTTCCTGTGCATGTATCAGCTAAAGATTTCAAATTCATTCCCCAGTTATGCGTGGTGCTCACATAAGGGTTATGAAATTTTTGGCGAGAAAATTGCTAACTCAAGAACCAGGAAAGCTAGAAAGCTGAAATTTTGAGAGAGTGTCCCCTGTCCAAGTACCACTTAAAGTTTTCAAATCCAGCCCTCAGATACGCGTGGTTCTTATATACGAGCATGTGAAAGAATTGGCGGAAGAATTGTTAACTCGGTAACTAGAAAAGCCGGAAGGCTGAAACTTTAGGGGGATGCTGCCTGTCCATGTGTAATTTAAGATTTTCAAACTCAGCTTCCAGACACATGGAGTACCCACGTACGGGCATGTAAAAGTTTTGGCTGGGAAACTGCTAGCTCAATAACCAGAAAAGCTGAAAGGCTGAGATTCAGAGGGAATGTTTTCTCTCCAAGTACAACTCAAATATTCCAAATTCAGCCCCCAGCTATGCGTTGTACTCGCGTAAGGGCGTACGAAATTTTTGGCGGGAAAATTGCTAACTCGAGAACCAGAGAAACTAGAAAGCTGAAATTTTGGGGGAATGTTCCCTGTCCAAGTACAATTTAAGTATTTCAAATTCAGTCTTGAGATATGCGTGGTTCTTATGTATGGGCACTTAAAAGCTTTGGCGAGAAAATTTCTCACCGAGCGGCTAGGTTGCTTCTAAAGAATGATCGTTAAATGGAAATTGTACATCTAATTTATATGAAATTTATGGTGATTTATGCTAGTGACCGCAAAAAATAGTTGTAAAGCAACAATTATTCATGCAGTTAATAACCTGAGTACTTCAAGTCCGATGCAAAAACGCATGATCATACGGGCTCGACGACTGCGTTCCGGCCTGGGTTTCAAAAAGCGAGCATTTACCAAAAAAAAAAAAAAGGCCAGGCTTCATGAAAAAAACTAGTAATTATGTACCTGGAGATCCATGCGGCCCTACAATGCATCACCTTCGTCCCAACCGACACACTTTCTCCTATAAGTCGGAAGAGGCCAGAGCGCCACTAATATGAGCCCAAATGTTAGGCTGTAGCGCAGGGTTGATTCCTGCTGCTAGCGATTTGCGAGTTTAGTGCAAAAACGTATGATCCAGCCTGAGTTTTTTCCTCTTCAAAATCTCACACCCTTTTGAAACTCCAAGAATGATTATCTTAATCTGATTTTATTAGAGAAGCAAGATTGTCATTCTTAAGATAATTTAATAGCTTTAAATATTTTAATTTTTTTAAAGACAACTGAAATTTCAAAGGCCACTGAAGTACTTACATGTTCATTGTTAGTTGTGATATGTTGACGGTAAGTAATAGTTATCAATATTGAATAATAGGAATTAATGAATCTTTCACTTCCTCCGAACGAACCCTTACTTCCTTGTTTCTAAAGCAAGGTTCAGACCAGACAAAAAAGAAAATTAGTGCCATACTGAGTTTATAACTGCGCTAAAGCTTTTTCATAATGTGATTTCTTCACTAATTTGCTTCGGCTTCATATCCACCCATCTCTAACACTAAATAAAACCTCTTCTAAGGGATCATTTCAAGTAGTCGTTTTCTGTAATGCGGGTGTATTCGTGAAACACGAAAGTTGTAGTGTTCCTGTTTGACGGAAAAAATGCGCTCCACACTGGATTTTCCATTAGTAGTCATTGTTCATAAAACTGTATGGAGTTTTGTATGTGTGCTTGTGTGTGTGTGTGTGTGTGTGTGTGTGTGTGTGTGAAGAGACGCGCTAAGCATGAGGTCTTATCACAAGTGCTAACAAATTGCGATTTAGAGGATGAACTGGATGCCTGAGCAAAGCGAAAGCACCAAATGGGAAGATACCGTAGCTGTGGCCTGTATCAGTATGGTTAGCATTTTCCCTTGTATTTTCATTAATATTATCAATATTTGTCTTTGTTCAGCAAAGAAAGTTAAGTGTAAATTTGTTTTTGTTGATTAACTACCATTTAGAAAAGTCAAGCTATTAAGCCAGTTTAGACCAATTAGCCGGAGCTGAGACCTAACGGCTTTAATCCTTTAGCTTCTCACCTCTACAAAATATCAGTGAAAAGCGACTCGTCAGTGGAAAATTTATTTTCAGTGGGGCCGAAACCGCTTACATCTTGAAAAAATCCCGACGATAATGGTAAGAATGAGTTGAATGACACAGAATTAAACTGAATAAGCTTGAAATCCAACCAAAGAAATACTGACAGGCGCTAATTAGACTGCATAGCAGAAAATGACTCCAAAAGTGCCAAATTTAAATCATTTGATATAAAAAGAAAGGATGTAAGCTGATGACATTTCAGTTGTGCATCGCCAAGAGTGAAATTCGTTTCCACAGAGTCAGTCAAATCATTTTCATTAATGTCATTAGAACTGTAGTTCGTTTTTATGCGTTTTTGCAGCAAAAAAGCATATTGTCGAGAGGCTATATGTGCGTGTGTTCGGAAGAGTGCATTTTTTCACCCACTTTCATCTCAGCAACCAGGAAATCTAGGAGGCTGAAACTTTGGGTCTATGTTCCTATCCCGTGTGACACCCTCTCGTTTTAAGATCTTCCCCCATATGTGCCTAGACCCCGCATACCGACCCCTGAAAAAAATATGCAAATTTCATTGGCGGAAAACGATTTTGCGAAGCAGGCAAGACACAAAGCTGAAACTTTACAGAAATATCCTCTGCATATGTGCGAGCTAAAGATTTCAAATTCAGCTGTCGAAGAAGCGTGTGCAGCGAGTACGACCATGTCAAAGTTCTCGACTTGGTGCTATACTAACTCGAAAACTTGCCGGAAAACAGTGGCTAAAATTTTGTCGAGATTTTTGTCTTCCACATAGGAAAGGTACACCTAAAATGAGTACCGATTTGCACTCGCGCCATAATTTAGGGCATTTCAAAGATATTTGTAGCAAAGTGGATATTTCGCTTACCGGATAAGCCGCGAGGCTGAAAATTTTCTAGAATATTTTATCTTTCAAGTGCGATCTTAATTCTGCTTGGGGGTGAGACTTCCTGCAGGTGAGCATGAGAAATACTCAACTTTACCGAAAAATTAGAAACGAGTGCGTTGCGAACGACCCCCGACCGCTCTAGCAATACTTTCATTTTTTTTTCAGTTCAAAAATTCGCATTTTTTATTTTTTCAAAAAGCAAGCATTTACCGAAAAAACAATCGAGCCTCATACAAAACCTGGTAATCATGTACCTGGAGGTCCATGCGGCTCTGTAATGCAACACCCTCATCCCAACCGATGCCCATTCTACTGCATGCCAGAAGAAGCCAAAGCACGGCGAATATGAGCCCAAGTGTTTGACTGCAGCGCTGGAATTATTCCTGATACTAGCTACCCGCAAGTTTAGTGCAAAAATGCATGGTAGCACCGGCCAGCCTGGTGCGTTCCAGCCTGGGTTCTTGAAATTATTGTTAGCAATTTTAAAAATAGTTAAGCAGCAGTAGTGCGTCTAGGCTGAAAAAGGTAATGCTATACAGTCAGTTCTGCAATTGCATCTCCACAGTGCTAAGTGCGCGAGTCATCTATCATTCATTTCAACATACCAAGAATCCAAGACCTTAAAAACAATCTTTATGTGAATTCCACATTAGTGATGTTGTTGGGTCGCCCTTTCGCGGGCCGTTCGATCCTGTGTTACATACCTTCACTTAGTTCCAACCGCCTGTTCAGCACATGTGAGCTAACTTCGAAGGTCGCTCGAGTGATCTTTTACTTTTTTGCCACTTCGTTTTACTAATGCTCACTATTTTTCGCTTGCCACCGAGGTGAGCCACGTGTCCTGGCCAGCAGGTTTACTTTCTTGTGCAGTCAAAATGACATCCTGCAAGCTGATCATTTTGAAAGAAAATCTAAATGCTTGTATATCGCTTCGATTCCTCTCACGTTTGCCATTTTCAGGTTTCATTGTTTGGTCTTATAGCGAACGGTTTACCTTTCTATATTACTCGCACATGTCCACGATTCCGAAATGCGTTTGGCATTCTTTGCAGCTATTTTCTGTTTTGCAATTTGCAAAGTATTACTGTAATTGCTGCCTGGACTACTGTGGTACTGAGTCTGTAAGATATTCGGGTCCAAAATTTGCGGTTTTATTTGGTTGTTTTTATGCTTTCTCGCATGACTAATGAAATGCAGAAACATCAAACAAGCTTTCAGAACCTTTTTTTTTGTTATTTTTTTTTAATTTAGGAACTAAATCACGCAGATATGTTATTTCTACATTAGCTTTCGGCTTATTTAAAAAATACACCATTTTAATAATCTCTTTAACGATTTGTTATTTTATTTTTCTCTAACACTGAAAATTCTTGCTGTTTCCTGGTCACAAACAGAGTCATTCGCTTCCGCGATAAACACCGGGCTGCCGAAACTGCCGATACAAGTAATCCTGTCAAACAGTTTTAGGAAAAATCGAAAATTCCATTCGCCAACAATGTTTCTTGCACGATTAGCTGGAGTGTTATCAAATGCAGCATGGTTTAGCGCAATACTAACGCATTTTTTTGTTTCGTTGAATCGCTTTTGCGCGTTTATGTTTCCCATACGATATAATAGACTGTGGTCTGAAACGAAAGCTCTTTTGGCTGGATGTTTTTCGTGGTCTGTCGGGATAACTTTTTCTCTTCCTGCGCTTTTCGGCAAGTCACTTTCATTTTTTGTATGCTTTTTTAAAACATGATCAAGTCTTATCTGCACATGCGTACATTCAGAACTGCTGAATTATAGGTCTTTGGTCTTTGAAACGAACAGGACTAAAGATCTGAAATTAACTTCCCACCCTTTTCGCATATTTAAACTCAAACTGATATAACTGTATAGTACAAAAAGTATCGGATTTAAAATCGCAGAGTTTGATCGATAGTTGCCCGATGGATGATTTTAAATAAGTATTTACGTCTCACTGCGGCAATGCGCCCGACCTTAAACTCCACTTAATAATACGACTTCAAAATTTTCAGCACCTACAAATTTTGGTCTTTTACAACCGCTTGATGAGTGAAGAGGCAACACTTTTTCATATAACAATCAATTTGTAACACACCCGCTGTAGAACTAAAGCAACTGGCCCGTAAAATGCATGGTTTTATTTTTCCTTCAGAAATGCTTCCAAGTACAGGTTTTCATAAATGATCTTTTCTCGGCTATAATCCATGCGTATTTTTGGTGTGGATCAGTTCTTATCTTTGCAGAACAGTGTTCACTGATATTTCATGAATCGTCAGACTATCGCTGGTCTTATCGTCCGACACTGTGTGGCTCAATTTTGGGAAATGCTGATGTCGTTGGGACGATAGCAATAACACTGTCGATGGCATGCCTCGATCTCATCACATATATCAAATATCTTGCTCACCAAAAAGTCAACACATTTGAAATCTCTACATCTTTTACAGTTCTAATATAGAAGAAGTTTTCATAGCAAAAGACCCTTCTTCGCAAGACTTTCAAGAAGCGCTTTTTTCGGTTAAAAAAAGAATTGAAAATTACATAAATCACTGTTAGTTTCAGGCGATTAGCACAAATATGTTGGTGCAGACAAGTGGTGGCATGAAAGAGCACGATGTAATGTTCCTCAAGCAGGTTTTGTTTAAAATCGAACTCTGCCACAAATTTGATGATTTAAAAATTTAGAAAGATCACGTGTAAAAAAACAAGCTGAAGCTTAATGTGAATTTATCTGCAGAACTAAATACAAAATCAGGCTATAAAAATGTTTCCAAAATATAAGCTATCCTTTTCCGGCTAATTTTCGAGCTAGACTGGGTGCCAACAATGAGCTTTGATGCGCCAGTACACGTAAAGCAAGCTTGAGCTGTAATTGAATTTGAAATGTTTAGCTTAAAAACCTGCAACCTTTCACTTCCTACGTTGGCCGTTTCTCGAAATCGCTTATCGCTAAAGAATTTATATATATATATATATATATATATATATATATATATATATTTGCGCTTGAACATAAGACGCAAGCATACGTGGTCGATAATCTTAAAATAGGAGAATCGTACATGGGGTGGAAACACGCTCCAAAAATTTCAGACCTCTCTGGTTCTGAAACTGAAGTTGAATGACAAAGTTCACTCATCCACACAATACATGGACACGCGCACGCACACATATATTCACGCACACACATGCACACATACACAAACACTGACAACTTTCTCAGAATATGCTTTTTCGCTATTGCGCTGCACAGTAAAAATGCATAAAAAGGCACAAAATCTAATTAGATACACAATAACCTTCAAAATGATGTAAAGAAAATGTGAGAAGTTTCACCAAAAGAGAACGAAGTATCAGATGACAAATCCTCACTGTCTGTGCGAAAAACTGATTTCAGTGATCGGTACCAAACCCTGGGCTCTAATCATATGTCAAACCTTTGGCTTAAATATAATGATTTTTGAAGAACTGGATGACTAAATTTGTGTAGCCGCGCTGCTTGACCGTTTCGTTACATTTTGCAGTCCTGTGTTTGCGGTTTATTTTATGTCACGTGCATTGTTGTGTTCAATTTCAATTCTCACTTTTCTACCAACAAATGGTTTCTATTCGGAACGAGCACAATTTACTGGATCTTCACACATTCGATGGATGGGTACAGTTGAATTTTTTAAATTTTTAAAAATGCAGGCTTGAAAGTTTTATAAATTCTTGCAGTGACGAAGTTTCGAACAGGCCCCGAAGTGGAAATTACATTTTCTAAATTTTTCGGGATGTCGCAACAAAACTTTTTTTAAGAGTAGCTGATCCCTCAAATGCTTATAGAAAATGTTTACAAAGCCTTTGATGAAATGCTATCTTGTAAGTTGGCGAGAAAGAGCAAAGTGGAAATTGTTAGTTTCAAGAATGAATCAATAGCTGATTTACTGCAAAAAAGTACCCGACAGTGGAAGAAATTGCTTCGAAACGCAAACTGCCGTTTCGATTGTTTTTCTGCGTAGAACTGCTGATAAAAGCCTCTAGAAGATCATGAAAATGTCAAAGCGATGCAAAATTCTTTTAATCCCTCCAATTGTCAGATGATGCTCAATAACATAATAGGCAAAAAATCCGGAGATATTCAATGGGTCAAATTATCATTAAGATATCACTGATTATGGGAATGTATTAGGCAGTTAAAACTGAAAAATCTTCGCTTTATTTTTCTTCTTACTCTTTTCTTCCCTCACAAGTTGTTGCAGTAGTAGCAAGGAACAATTTCACTGAAAGTTATGTATTTACAGATTTGTATTGTTGGTTTTTAATCGACGTGAGTTATTTCCGAAATCAGGCTCGGTGACAGCAGTAACGTCTATTTCGAAATCGGCACAAAATGTAGTGTGAATCAGTAATTGTCAGATTCTTCATTCTTCGAGATGAAATGCAGTTGCTAAAAAACTCCTAGTCAGTGATATACTAAACTTCTGGTAGCTGGATTACAAAACCAGGCTGGAAAGCATCAAGCGGGCCGGTGCGATTATGCTTTTTTGCACTTTTCGTGCCGTAGCAAGATCGCAAGGAATTACAGTAGCCAACCCTGTGACATACTGGCCCTCGAAGTCCGGGAATTTAATTGTGCAACTTGGTGGTATGTCAGCTTTAGATGTCGACTTCAGTGACTCGATAAATGGAAAGTTGCTGATCCGCGAAAAAGGCCGCACTAGAAGAGTTAAATTTGAAATCTTTTAGTCAGCCGCACATGAGTAGGGAACATTCTTTTAAAATTAAAGCCTTCCAGCTTTTCTTTTCCCTGAGTTAGCAGTTTTCCCACCAAAATTTTCACGTGACTGTACGAAAGCCCCGGGCAGTCCTGGGCAGCTGAATTTTAAACCTTTTGTCACACATGGCTAGGGAACTTTCCCCTATGGTTTCAACTTTCTAGCTTTTCTCGTTCCCGAGCTAGCAATTTTCCCGCCAAAACTTTTACGTACCCGTACGCGGTCAAAAAAACACACTTTCTGCAAAGAATGGTGAGGCAGGAAGTGTAGCGATTGTGCATCATTTGGTGCAGAAATTTAGCGAGCTGGCTGTAACTGTTATGATAAGAGTAGTCAGGGCCCAGACGTCCGTGAGGACTGATACCGCGGTCCTGGGGTGGCACTTGGCTGGGAAACACACTGGCAAGATTTCAGCTTCAAAGCTTGCGTGGTTGGCGAGTTGAAATACCCGTACAGACGAATGTTTATGTGTGTGTTCACACGCATACACTGACAAGGTCGTTGCAATATGCGTTTTTGCTTTCTGTTGCAACGCTCTAGCGCTGCACGTCATGAAAACCACACGCCGTATTTGGCACGCCACGACTGTAACGACGATTCTGCTCCTCTTCATTTCATCATTTTTCTGGAAATTTGTTTTTAAACCCGCATTTTGCTTTTCATTGTCCGAACACCCCCATCTCCCTCCCCCCCCCCCCCCCCCCCCCCCCCCCCCCCC